GAGTTAATCGGCTCCCAAGTTTCGCATTGCCTTCACAGTGCCAGGAAAAGTCTAACTGGAAAACAGGACAACCCAGACAAGGATATATAAAGACCCTGTTTTCCATTTTACGCCTGACTAGTTTGTGACCATATTGTGATTTTACTCGGTTTTATTTTCAGGGATTCAATTTTGCGTTGCTCTCTTGTTGATCAGACCGTGGAGCCGAAGCGTACAGTTTCGACGTGTAAGAGTGCAGAGATATTGGACAGCCTCTCCTATGTCTCTGCGTTCCACTTCCATGCGCGTAAGACATCCAGCCAGCTAGAGTCAGACACGCATAAGAAGCGGAATGTATACTGACCGGCGTAGCCAGCATTGGGAGTCTCGCAGGGACATCACATGAATTGTGGTTCTGGCTTGTGATTGGTTTACGAAACCTGTTGTGTTGTACCGATCCTCCTTATTCTAGGGCCATAGAATTCCACTATTGTTTAAAAGGACGCGCCGAAATGTAGGACAATGCAGAGCTAAGTCAATAACCTTTCGCGGTAAGTTAGAACCATCTTTGAAAATATTCAGCCAACGAGAAGCACTGAAGGATGAGGGTCAATAAACAGTTGCAAATTTCGTAACACAAGTATGAATAGGAAATGTTAAACAGAACTGGCTTTCTAAACTAATAGGGAACTAAAATTGTCCACCATTCCCAATATATACTGTTTAACATTCATCCTTGTCGTTGGTTGTCTAAAAAACTTATTCGCTGACGACTCAAACCTACAAAGCTTGGAAATAATTGAGCTTAGAGCGGTCCAATATTACCCTACCCTTATACGTCATTTCACTGCCTTATCCTCGGAAAGGATGTTGTCCCCTGCTTCTAGCATGGTTCTATTTACAGTCGTAAATAAACAAATATCGTGTTTGACACTCCGAGGTGCACCACACATGACAGGAGTGTGACTTACCCAACTAGTGGACAAGGACTCTGCTTCAGTTTACTTGCAGGGAGGCCGATTTATAGGTTGGGGAGTAGTTCTCTACTTGCAGTCTAACTGGTTTCTGAATTTAAAAATAGCTTGACGGAATTGATGATACTTCCTCAGATGTAGAAGTTGAAATCGCCAGTAACGTCAAATCATCCAATGTTCTGTTCACCTGAAAAAACAGGAATGAAAATTGGAGACATTATTTAAGGCAGAGTTTTTACCCATGTCCTTAAATTAAACATTTTTAATGTTACAACTTTCGATTTCTGCTTTTTAAAAGGAAATCCAGAGTTGAAAACTAATAGTTATAATGATGAACTACATTACCAGAAATTGTTACATGAAAAAATTGTTATTTATCTGAAAAATTATGATAGTCAGTAGGTCAAAAAATTAAGCAAGTTGTCATTATTGATGCAATTGCTTTTAATTTTTCTATTTCAATAATTTTTTATGCAAGTAACGTTGGAATTCGTCCCTGATACATTAATAAAATAACTAAATATTCAGTGTAGATACAGGTCCTTAAAAAAACGGCAACACAATAAGGATATGTATCTTTGTAAATATAATTAAAATTAGTGCAAAAAGCGTTTTAAGCGCATTATAAATAATACTTAGCCTAAAAAGGAAAAGCTATGTTTTAATGCGTTGTCTTTGACCCGCGATAGTAAAGTATCCCTATAGCTTGTCCTTAATTCCGTGCTTGTACCAAATCTGGATTTATTCTTCATGGGACTTTGTAAATTTCGACTGAGGATACCCTAGGTAAGTATGTATTCTTCTTTACCCTGGTATTATTTTTTTTGGCTGCATAGTGGTCTCTTTCTCATAGCATTTTTATTTTAAATGCACTACCTTTTCTCGATGTCATTTATTGTTTTCTGCCTCTACTACTGATCGTTATTTATTCGATGTCCCAGTAATGTTTATGTTGATCCATTTTGAGGTGGTTTTCACGTACTCGGTGTTGATGTGTGGCATGACAACTGGAAACGCCCTTGCCTTTAATTGACCACACGTTGCACATATACATTATTTTTTTCTCTCGAACTGTAACATTTGGTATTGGTTGTATAAGATGATAAGACCCCCGTATAAATAGGGCCTCTAGGCCGGATGTATTTTCAAACCTTGTTTGAACAAAATGTCCAATGTCGATCATTTCCTTTTTCGGACCTATTACTCAGGGAATTAGAGTTGGGTTTGTTTTAATTCTATGCCACTTTGTTGACCTGAAAATGGCATTACGAGGATTTCTTTTGCTATGTTTAGATAATCCGTATTTTGTATGTGCTCTATGAATTCATCAAATTGATAAATCCGTTGCTGTATCATTGCTGACAGAAAGTTATTTTCTTACATTTAATTTAAAGTACCCGCTTTTACTGACATATATTTTTTTGATTATTGCTGTTTTTGATTACTGGTCTTTCGATGAACTTGTCTTCATTTAAAATTGTTATTTCTATGGTCGAATTCATACCGACCTATAATTGACTTTCCTAGATTTCACTAGACGTTTCGGTTTTTGCGCTCTTATGATTCGATAAAATTCATGTTCAGACCCATTTCATTTTATTTTTGAGCAAACTTTAGTCTTGCCACATTGGGGATTGTAATACTCCCCCATGAATTTTGCATATTTCTGTCCCATTTTAACCAGCACAATATTTTGCAAATCGGTCGTCGTTCATTTCATTAATTTTTGCAAAGATTTTGATATTACGGTAATATTGTGTACCGAAGTTAATGTTTTAATAGTTTGCGCTGTGTACTTTGTTGTGGAGTTGGCAATTTCCGATTTAAGTGGGAACCCTTTTAACCGGCCTTTTGTAATGGACGATCTCTAGCCAAGCTCATCAAACTGTGGCTTATGCTTTTGTGCCATTGGATATGTATTATGCGACTTAAATTTTTTTGTCATTCAATTTTATCTGACGAGCCCATTTAACTTCTTAGACTTTGAGCTTGTGTATTTGAATTTAGCCTCTCTAGTTCATTCAAACAATCAATTAACTTGAGTTCATGGTTTGGTCGATTCTGCAATTGTTTTCATTGTAGTCATGTGGTTTAATAGTAGGCGCGCATGCAAACGGCACTTTCTGTGGCTAAGTGCGCACATAGCTAAAGTACTTACAATGGAGAAGTTAAAGTGTATAGACCGGTTAAAATGAAAATTTCTAATCCAGGTGGTTGGCCTCTAACTGAATCGCCATATTTTTAGTGAACAGATTTATTCTTGAAATCTTTTTGTCCTTGATATTTAGTGCAGTCTTAGAGCTATACGTTTTGCGTGAAACTAATGGAGGTGTTAGTGGGTGCCGAAATAAAGTCTTAATATATCAGGGCTTTATGCCCATTTAATTTTTTGACAAGGTTAGTAAGGCTTGTTCAAAATATGCTATTGCATGTCTAATTTTGCATAATCCGTTATTGTGGTCTATTGTTGCAGCTTTTAAACCTGCAGTATTTGGTTGAATTTTCATAATCATAACCATGTAAACTTAGCAACACTGCTGTGAAGTTGCGCTTCCATTAGGTGTCGTACAAACTACGCGAGGGCTACACGCCGATATCCCTATATTCATAACTAATACTCAGATCTTCTTTTATTGCCGGACTCCGTAATATATATTATTTTCAAGGCAATTATATTCATGTTGTACCTTTTTAGTTCAAGACATATGCAACGCATTAGCCAAAAATCCAAAATAAGTAACGACCCACTAGTCATTAGTCAAAATCTGGAAGGGATGACTCCCAGCAAAATCCTATCTGTAAAGTTAAGCAAATAACTCGATTGAGGGGGTAATTTGGTCTGAGTGTGTTTCAATGTTATCTGTGTTTTCTCGCTATCCTTTTTAAGTTGAAGAAAAATTCATTTACTCGGGGAACCGTCTTCGGGTTTTGAGTCCAAAACTTGGTGTTTAAGCTTAGTGAGCCTCAAAATAACCTTATCGTAATGCACCACACTCACTAATCTTCGGTTTTATCGTGTACTTTTGTGACGTGCCTTATCGTTGCATTTATGCAAGTTTGGTTTGAAACCTATGGGTGGCTTTGTTTAAATTAATGAGCGCCTCTATGCTTAGTTATTCTTCCCTCTCCTAATAATCTAAATGAGGTAACTGCTAGAGGCAGCAGAAGGCTACGGTTCTGTATCTTAAAGGTGTAAACATAGGTGACCTTGAAAATCATCTGTGCTACAGGTGGCAGGCATTCGCGTGTGGTGCGGAGGTGTGTTCACATAGGTACGCACACATTTTTTGCAAACACGTTTCCATAATCTAGGACTGTTGTTGTTTTTATGAGTAATATCCTCCCATTGGCCTTTTGGCTTTGTAAAAGTCCATGATTATACTTCAAAAGCCTACGCACGGAGATGCTCTTAATATGCAGACGACCTATTTACTCAATATTGCACAACATTTAGTGAAAATCCGGTCGTTCAGTTTGCTTCTCATCAGCCGTTTTGTTACGAATTTGAGACCACCCACTCACTGAGCACTGTTAAGATGGCTGATGGAAAACACTCCTTGCTCATTTCCTGCATATGAGGCTTCGGGTACCTGCCACTGTTTGCCGTTGAGGCATTCCTGATGCCCATCAATGCCTTGTCCTTGTCTATTGGATGGAATTCTTATGCTTTCTACTAGCGCTTTCGGTTACCCAAAACAGCATCCGTTTTTTGACGATTTCGTGCATCCTTTTCTAACTGCAACTGCCGGTTTATGTATTGTGTAGTCTCACTCGATTGTTCTTTGGACAAAGATCCTTCCTCATAAACGAATGCTACCTTCCAGTTTTGAAAGTACTAATATAGAGTTTCCGTTTTCTTCAGATCACCTGGTCAACTCCTATTTTTGTAAATCCCTGAAATTCTGCACAAAACCTTTCGAGTGGACAAAGTGTGTCACTGTCCCTTCCGCATGTGTAACCATCATGCTTTTGTTTTGAAAGGTGTAAAGATTTGAGCCTGTGTACCCATCTAAAGAATTCGAGATTAACTTCGGTCTCTGCGTCGGCATGAATCCAACAGCCACTTCATCCCATAGCGGTGAACTGAAGAGCACCAACTACTCCCTCTCTGTGGATGTCCAATCTCTCGTTCCAACAACCACCTCCGCCTCCGAGCCTATGCCCATGGGTCAGCTTAAACCCTCATCCTACGTTAGCAGTAGTGGCGGCTCTCGGTATCAAGATACCACCATATCTTCCTTTACTCCCTTGGTCACCGTCGACACAAGCGGCACAACAGACTTTCCTGACTACTTTTCTCCTTCCGTCGCTTCACCCTTCAACGCACCCTCTGGCTTCAGTTCCCACCACACTGTTCAGCCGACTTACGCCTCGATGATGACAGAAACTGACCTGTATGGCGGCAGGCAGCCACCACAGCAACATCTTCCATACGCTAACTCAGGCACGGCACCATCTCTGCAGCGTTTCATAGGCGGTCTGACGAGCAAGCTCCCAGATTTACAGTGCGCGGGTGGGAGTTGCACAAGCATGGACGTGACTTACTCGGCACCACACATGGTCGGCCTGGCGTCCTCACCGCACACGAGTCTCATCTCGCCTGCCTACTCGCCCAGCTCGGTTACCACTCAAGGCAGTGGCAGTGCCGGCAAACGAACCGCCTTAGAGACAGAGAATAAACCGGGAGCTTTCAAATCGAGATCGAAGAAGGAGAGCCACAATCGCAGTAAGTAGGCTCTAAGGCCACTTAATTAGCCCTGTTTTAAGCACACCAGGGACCTGTTTTTATGCGTTTGCTTTTGCGTGCACAAATTCACAAATGCAGTTTATGATACACTTTTGTCTCTTTGACCACAACTTAGCCATGAAACTTCTTGCCCGTGCAATCCGACTTAAAAGTTTAAATCATATGGATTTGAACCAGATTTCCCTCCATTCGCTTTACTTCCAGAAAACTAGTTGTTAGAAATCGCACTAGGAAGCTTCATTCATTTGTCTCCCTTTCTCTATTTTTGAATACTTGAGTTCTGGAGGGAATAGGTGGCTTAAATTTGCCATTTAGGCGTCAGTGAAAATGAGATAATGTCTGTAATTTCACGATTCTGGGTCTGTTATATCATTTTCCTTTACCCTTCTCTGTGTATACTGATAAACACGTGCGCTAATTTCCCACTCGAAGTGGGCATTACTGGGCCGTTCGATTTCCTTGAGTCGATGCAAAGAAACCCGAACACGCAGCTGTTTGTCGTTGTTTGATGTGTTATCTTTGCTAATTCATCATCAGCAAGGAAGGTTTATAGAAGAGTATTGCTGACATCGTCGTTTCGGTAGTCATTGGCATATTGGAATATTTTGAGCCACTGCAGGCCATAGTTTGTATTTATCTGTGGTAATCTAGTGAGTACGTGCCAATTGAATACCTCGATACTTTTCATCCAGTCGGCCCCTGTCAACGGTACTAACCAGGTTATTCAATTTTTGTGACTTAAAATGAGAATTGTGCTTTTTGAACAACACAGCATTCTTGAATATTGACCATTATATGATGAATTCGGACTGTTTTGTCAAAATGAGGGCAATTTACAACTAAGAAGTATGTCATGCTTTCATCTAGTGTCTTTTGTTTTCGCTGTTATTCAGGTTGAGCCATATGGCCGATTAACTTGCCTAAAATTATTATAAAATAGTCAATGACTTGGTAATAATCGCCCTAGTAATAATGTTCAAATATGCAAATGATGCGACTACTTGTAGCTCTGCCCCCACTGGTTTGCTTTAATGAATCCTTCGTCATGAACTCATTTTCCATTAATGCTAACATAAACAAGTTGTCAAGTAGATTATAGGGTTGGTTTGTTTTGGTTTGCAAATGGTTTAGTTCCACGTCTTAGATGGTATTTAGTGTGTGTGTGTTTGTGTGTTGTATTATTTTCAATTCATCAAATTCCCCTGAACATGCTCTAAGACAGATAAATAGAACCAATACATTTTCACAGCATCTCCCATGTGATAAAGGCTTCTTCTTTGAGCATTGCGATTACGCATGTTGCTTTTTGTGCCACAGATGCACCCATTCACAAACAGTGAGGGGATGTGAGTGTTTATTACTTACCTTTGTAAATGCTGTCCTTTCGTCGAAAACTTGTGTTGGCATTATATCACGTTGAGTTAGTCGTTTCAGGACGATATTTCATTCACCACTGCCATGTTGTCTCCGTTCTATTTAGCCTCCTATTTTCACCACAGACGCAAGTTGTGCTGTTGAATGGCTAATTGTTGTGTGCAGCACCTTCGCCTACGCACCTTTTCGAAAAAATTCACCTAGGATTTTTTTTTATTTTGCCCGACTGAATGCTAAACGGGTGAAAGCCCCTTTATATGTCGTTGAAACGAATCCCACAGGTGCCACAACTGCTGAGACAAGTGATTATCGCGCAGGAAACAGACACCGTAAATATGCTAAAATGACTCAAAGTCAATAGTTTTGATGTGCCATCTATACATTGTTAGCCGAAGTTGATCAGATTTGTGCAGGAGTAATGCCCGTTTACAAAATTCTAATTGAAATTTAGAGAACCATGCTTAAAAAATTTTCATATGAGCATAACCCTTGTTAAAATTTGCTATGTGTGATGTCAAAGTGACGTTTTAAGAGGCCAAATTTTAATAAGTGCCATTTAATTACTTGAGGTAAAAAGTGGAGGTCGATTTACAACGACCCGTTAATTAGGAATCACATGGTATCGAGGATGCTAAAAGTGGGAAACACGAAAACATGAGAGCACGGATATGCAATGATGTCTGGTTGTGAAGGAAACACCATGCTCTTGATATTCCAGTCAGTGATACTCATCTAAAGTTGAGTCCGATTCATCCCCCGATGCAGAAACGCGAAACCCGCTAAACTGGTTACAGTGGAATCTATCAGCGGGCCGTGTTGCCGAAAATCGGGTGTTATAAAATCATTTGGCAGGTCTGGGGTTTCTCTGTTTCAGATCGATTGTTTTTCTTAAATTAACGATTCATTGGGCCTTGTGCGCGCGTATCGGCATTGCGCCCGACCTTGTCTCACCGTAATCGTCTTTCTGTCGTTAGTTAGTGCCATCGACGACAGCCATCTTCCCAACCAATCTTTAGGGCTGTGTCAAAATTATCGGTGAACGTCCATTTTTCTGTAACTATTCTCTTTTAAACTATAGGCGCAAATGCATAATCTGTCAAAGCTTCTGCAAAATACATCATTTTTTGACTACCCAACAAAGCAATAACGTTGCTAATCGATGAGCACTATGTGAAACACATAGAACTGGAAACGTAACCGAGATGTTTTAATGTGTGGACTTAATTTGTGGGTTTTTTTGCGGGAGATCATTGGCAAAGATTCCCACTTCGAGGTTATCAAAGTGCAAATACTTTGAGGAGTTGGTGTTTAAAGTTGATTTAGGCGGTGAACACCTTTTTCAACACGCAACATAAAGACACGTTAGTCAATTGTGTAATCTTTGATACTAAAAACTTGTGGTTGTGTTGTTAAGTGAGTTGTTGCCACCTATCGGATTTATCCTGTGTTCGGTGTAGATTGCCCCATGTCGCTTTTAGAAGACGAAATGACTAAATCCATTCTACAAATATAACTGTACCGTTTCCGAATCCAGAGACAATGTGATTTGGAGAAACTTGTCTATTCTGCAAACTGATAGCCTTTCCTATGCACGAAATAACGAAGCTGTGCTGCCTAAGCTAAATTCCTGCCTTCGCACGCAGTTCTTCTTTCAATCGCATTCTATTTTCCATAAAAAAATCAACGTATTCAAGATGTCAATATTCTCAGACTAAATCGAGCCACTGTCGGTGTAAATGAGACTGTAGACATCTGGGCGCACTGAAAATATGAGTAATTTGCACTTCCTCAACTCTGCTCTCATCCTTTGGGCTCGCTATCGCAGACCTTCCACGCATTTAATTTCACTCCTGAAATACCATAAATTGCTGCTTGGCTGACGGTTCAGTTTTCTTGATACCGCCCCCATTTGTTCACAAGCGTCGGTTTGCCACCATCTTTTATCTTATTTTTTTGTTTACCTAAGCACAGCCAGCAACCACACCCTTATTCTACCACGATGTCGCCAACCACCTGCACTCAACTGATCCACGTAAGCAATTATCCCAAGGATTGTGTTAGTACTTGGCAATTTTTTCGTATGCAGTTGATGATGGAGCCACAGGCGTTATTAACACTTATTCCTTAGCCAATCGTACTTGACACTATCACGTCTACGTGTTGACCTGAATTCCAACACGATGATTTTATTTACGTTGATTTCGCGCATTGCCGATGGTCTTCCTCTGGTTGCATCTGTCAAGGAGGATACGGAGGTATGACATGAGCAGTAATTTCGTTGAGACTACTGTTATTGTCCATTTTAGCTGCAGGTTTTGTCTGCGACTGGGACTTAGTTGTTCACCAGCCACCGCCTTATCGTTCCAAGTATAGGTCTTAATGTAGCGTTACTACCTACTTTTTTAGTTGATCCCTGACTAATTTGCGCCTTGGAGTGTTGCATTCGTGTATGACTAAGCAACGACTCGATCAGATTTGTTGGAATCTCAAATTGTAGTGTGGTCATCATGCCCGAATTTAGTGTAGCTCTATTGGAAAGGGCAGTGATAAGGGGTTTAGATTCAGGATAAAGCGTAGTTTAGTGCTTAAGAGGTACACTGGTTATTCTATGCCTATCTAGCCTGTTAGACTTTGCCCGAAATTTATCGCTGGCTTATTTAGGTGTCTGCCACTTTTGAAGTCATTTATTATTAGACCTGCTGGTTTTATTAATTTGTTTAAAGTTAAGTCGCAACTTGGTGAGCTACCAGAACCAGGCAAAGCTGTTAATACGCAGGATTGTCCCGTCATCACCGCCGCGATGCTCTCTCGTAGCCGGTTCATGTTTCTTCTAGTATTTCATTTTGTGGAATCGGTTGCCTGCCTTCGATCATTGGACTGACTTGTTTTACAACGCCAAACGCAAATCCAGGCAATTGGCACTACTGTGGAGAAAATTGAGCATTCCTATACATTTTTCTGTTTGGTTTTTTTTACTGGTCTGCCTCCCTCTTTTACTACCCCTATTTCCTACACTAGGCTTTGTTCTTTAACATTTTGCACATGGTTATCTTCTTTTTTATGCTGAAAATAGAGGTATTGGCATTAATAACGTTATTTTAATTATGTCAACACTCTACAATTGAATTTATCTGTAGCGGGCATATGCTATTGAAATTAATCACGGTGGTCTTAACCACGCATCTTGTATGTCGATGTTTTTTCTCGTGTAGTCAAGAAAGGCATTTTTATTCGAAAATGTTTTATCACTCTGGTGGATGCCTCTTAAAGCCTCGCAAACCTGCCTTGTCTCTGTGCATGCGGGTCTCTGCTTCGTGTCGTTAGATTGTTGTCTTTGTCCACTTATAGGATCCTGTGTTTATGTTTTTATTTGGAATATCTCTTTCCTCAATGACTCAAGAAGAACAACCAAATTTCCTCGCCGTCATCCTGCTTTTTTTCTCTGCACACTTTCTAACCCCTTCTCTGCGATTCGGTTGGGGTAGACAAATGGTGATTCGAATTCTCCTCGCCTGTTTGTTTCCAATGTTTTGTCCGTTCGGAGTGACTTCGGCTCAAAAAAATTTCGCAATCTTCTTAAGTTTCGAAGACCTACCTCTAAATGAGTAATTTGTTAAACTGTTTTTGATGTGAAAGGTAATCAGGAGAAGTGGTGGAGATTTTCGATAAATTGGCGTCAAGATGCTGATGTTGGGAAGTTGGCGACACAACTTTCCGTTGTCGCGATCAGTTCGCGTTGGTAAATATATGCCTGTGTGCTTAACGTGCATTAGTTTTACTTTAGGTAATTATATTCTGTTCATGCGGCAGCCCTCTCACGTTTACAGATAACAAACCCTACTATGCGCTGGCTCAAAGATCCCCCGAACTCCAATTTGACCTCCTGGTCGACCTGTGTGTTTGCAGGCCTTTTTCTGAAAAACATACGTTTTTATTTTACAGCTACACATGTTTACATTTCGTTTTTGTGTGTATATAAGGTTTATCAGAAGATGTCCATGTGAATTAGCTTATTGAATGCGTAACATCTCCAGGTCACAATGTTGCCATCAGGCGTAATTTATATTCATCCCCTTCTTTTCTTTAAATTGTTTTTTTTATTCAAAAGGCAGTATTTTACTCTAGTAATCTTATTGCCGTGCTTGACTTGATTTTCTTTGACCACTTGAAAGGTTCTCTTTGACTTCGTCCCACGAGCACTCACTGGTGTTTCAACGATATAGTGCTCGTACCTTCATTGAATAAACGCACTATTTATTTGTCAGTGCAGTTTGTTTGTGTGATTCGCACATTTTCTACGATCTGTGAATGCCAAGCTGCTTCTTTGATGTGCGTAAAAACTAATCGTCATTTTTCGTGGCATTCGCATTGCTTGTGAATGTGGCGTTCAAATGAGAGAATGCATTCTCACCCGACCCGCCAGATATTTGTCGTGTCCTTTTTACTAATTTATGCCAACACTCCATCGTTAACGTTGCTATAAGCGTTCCTCGTAATTTTGGGATTTACGAATATGAAATCACTATCGACGGAGTACGTGGACATGTCGTAAATGCGTTTCAACCAAGGTCAAAGTCCAGATATTTGTGTTTCTGGTCCGTAATTGGGAATTTTATTTGACTTGAGTAGTTCTCTAAATCCGATTTACCGGGTACACAAACTTGGCAAATTCAAAATCTCAGGCCCTTAGTGCACTCGCATAGTTACCCGACTATCACTTGTCAACCAAATGTAAACTGTGTTTCGAAAAAAAATTCCACGTTGTGTAACTATGTATAGGCCGACCAGGACCAAGCGTTCAACCGTAGCGCGCTTCACGCGGCTGCTTTTGACTATACATGTCCTTGTGATAATTTCCCCCATTGATAACTAATTGTGTTTTCTGTGATTGACCGGTCAGTTCGATTTCATTCTTGCGTTTGCATTTATTCAGCTAGTTATATGTAAATTGGCGATTTGTTGAAGTTCAAAACTTTTTTTTAAAATAGTGCATAAATTTTGACTCCAGCTTTATTAGCATGTCATTTCCTAGGTGTTCCTTCATAAATGAAGGTAAAGTACATTTAACTGCAAGTTTGCGATATCATTACTTATTAATTGTCTACTTATCTCCTCTTCACGACTTTGTCCTATAAATAAAGTTTCTTACTGTTGTGATTAAATTCATGCTTTTCTTTTTTGTCCTTTAGTCGAACGGAGGCGACGCGATTACATCAACTCCCAAATCACCCGTCTGAGTGGACTATTACCAGTCGACATGTACCGAGACGTGTAAGTGAATTGTTGCTGTTTTCGCAGCTTTTGACACACTTTCCCATCTTCGTGTTTTTCTTTTTTTATCATTTCCGTTTTCCACTCCTCACGCAGCACCCACAACCCTCCTGTTTATTAAGTATTAATGAATGCGCCTCGTTTATCAGCATAGAATTTCCGTCGTTTTTTCTGCTGAGCACTTTTCCCGCATAAACTATTTTTGTCAACTACAATTACCAACACCTGGTTCTTGGTAAGAGTGCTTGCCACGAGCACGCACTTTTCAGCGAAAGTACTTGGCACTCACGGTTTATCTCAAATGAACTCTTCCGATTCAGACGTTTTTTCGCACTACATTCGTGCAGTCTCACCATCAGGTTTGTCGAAGAGTAAGGAGTTTGCGATTGACATTCCAGTTAGGGCAAGACAATCCCATTTTCCGTGTTCATTACCAAACTGAGTTACCTTGAGGTTCTCACAAGACCTGTTAAGGTCTGCCTGTATGTAGAAGTGCAGATTAATTTCTTTGGAGAATATGTTTGAAGAAATTACTTGTGAACTACTCATCATCCGTGTAATCGTGTCCGCTTTCCCTCTATTTTCATTTCCATTTTTTCCACCGGTACTCTTTCACCCTTAAATATCATTGGGGTATCATTTTGACGATCAGAAATCAAACACAAATCGCCCGTAATGAATCTTGTGTGTGAAATCAAGGCATCAAAACCGATGGTGATTTCAAAGCAGATCTAATGTTTCGTTATTTTTACATGAATCTTTTTGATTTTAAACTATTGTGCATCAATGTCAACAGTCTAAATTACACCAATATCGAATATTGTTGGTATATTGATTTCACATCATTTTTTGAGATTTAACTTGATTCTCCAACCTTATTTCAGCTATCCATATAGAGAATTACTCGTTTCTAGATTGCCAAGTACTTTGTTTACTTTTTGACTCCTCCCTTTTAAGTCCTGTTCAATGGTTCTTCGTCCTTTATTCACGTATAAGGGAATTTTATACTTGACAATTTCTGTTCATATTGTACTTACGTTTATTTGCCTGCCTAATATGACAACCGGCTTTCCTTTGATGCTCGCGTCATACGTAGGACTTGCCGGCTAGTTCGACGTCGTCAGTTAATTTTGGGGAAAGTTGCTTTCACTTTGGCTTGTGCACCCGTAGTTATCATGGCTCCAAGTTTACTTTCTCTAGATGCTCGTTTTATGCATGAAACGCTTCCAGCATGCTAAATTGACAAACTATTTCGAATTCTGAAAATATAAAAGCAGTCATGTTCGTTTCGCTCAATGCCAATTTGGTTTTATTTTCTTAATAAAACGAACGAAACCATGTAGCTTTGTACCCTCGCGGTTAAATTCCAGCCATGTAAGATCAAGCAATGTAAACTCTGTAGACAAAATGTCATTCGACTTAATTCTGTTTCTCTTGTTCAGCCCATAAATTTTATGCTAATGAACTTTCAACTGAATTTCAAGTTATTCTGTATGTCCGTAACGTTTTGCAAAAGCATCCGAAGGTCACGTCCTAATCAATGATGCACTTTTACTTCCGTACTGCACACACTTTCATACAGAGATGCATTTCCCCTTAACTTCATTTTTTGCGAATTTTTAAATTAACTCAACTTTCTGCACTTTGGGTCACAGATTGCACCAGCGTTTAGCTGTTCTGTCGTCCGTTGTATCTCCAAAGTTCACACTCCTGTTTACTGTGTACTCTTAAACGCACACCTTTTACTCCTAAGCTGTCCTCTGCCCACGGGGCCCATTTTTGATTTTTGCAAGACCAAACCCACTAGGTGATAGATAAAATATCGATGCGGGACTTTGCTTGATGTTTTTTTTTGTTTAACCCCGTATCACGACATAAGTAGGTGCCACTGTTTTGCGTCTAGCCCGGGTGGTCTAAAGCTGGCGATTGCGACCGCGCAGGCCGCCAAACCTGTGTGATCTCTGACTTTTCGCTGTGTCAGTAACTGATAGCTCTTGGACTGGCCGTCATCGCTCCCTAGCTTTACTGTGGGTCTCTAATCCCGTCTTGTAGCCTCCTTTCTTTGAGTTTTTGTTTTTTTATTCCTGATACTAATTATTATAATATTGATCCGTTGTACTATCAACATTCCTAATCTGGCTTTTTGAAACTCGAATGAATGCATTCTTTACCTCCACTGGTCTTCCATTCTTTGACACTTTTTGGTAACGAATTTTCTTACTTTTTTCCGAAGACAATTTCTCAAATCGAGTTCGATGCTTGTTGGTGTAGAGCCAAATGGTAAAATGATAGCAGCATCCACTGGTCACAATGCAGAAATAATCCATTGTTTCTTTGATCTGATTTAATTGGTCAATAAGGAATTAGAGGTCACTGTTGGCTTATATTGTCACTGCCTTCGGATTGCACTCGATTATTCTGTGCCCTTTTGTCCCTTCGATGCACTTTTAGACTTAGCGATTGTCGTTCTATTTACGCAAAAATAATTATGCCAACTGCTTCGCCTTTTCTGCGTTACCCTGCTGCTCTTTGCATATTGAAAGTCACTAGTTCTTCATGTAGAATAAAGCGGTCACTGGTAGTTTCCATGACAGTATTATGAGGGTTCTTAATGCAAAACCAGTGGTTTGAGTTCAACTAGCGGGAAATAATCCTTTGATGGTCTATGATTTCTTTTTTTTTCTCGTGTACTTTCACCAGTAGTTATAGAGCACTTTTGGATTTGGACTGAGAATTTTTACGTGTTGTGACCCACATTCTTGGCGGATACTACTGGTTGCAGGATCTTTAAAAATTAACTGTTTTTACATGGATTTCGTGCAGGGACGGCCGAAGAAATAAGGGAACTGTTCTCCGATTGTCAGTTAATTACATCCTTGAACTCCGACAAGCCGTTGCACATACAGCCAGCCTACGACAGGAAACTGCCATCGCCCGCCAGCTCATTCCCCTCCTCCTCAGTCACATCCAGGTATCGGAAATAGTTTCTCTGTTTTCCTTACCACATTGTTCCTTCTGTTGTTGTCTTTGACGCTAAACCGTTCACTTGTAACTATTCAAGAATACCAAATTTTATCGGAAACAGTTCGATTTCGGGCTCAATTTGCAATTTCCCTCCTCTTCGTTTTGTCTGGTCTATGTTCTCCTCAAAATTGTCTATTTCTTCACCGTTTAAGCCGTACCTTGTGGGGAATAATAAGGTTTTGGTAAATCTGCCCTGGTGTTCATAAGTAGTCTTTATTCACTTGTCTCATTTGCACTGCAGATGCTTAAGTTAGTAAAATATCAAACTCATCTCCCGGTACCTGAAGTACTGGCTGCGAAATATAACTACCGGAAATCCCTATCCACTTGAAATAAACTATTTTTTTAATTTTTATGAGACTCTTTATGTATTAGTTCTGCGTTTTCACCGCCCTCGTACTTTTAGCATGATTTAAAATTGCAAAACTCAAAGCGTTTACTTGTGATACTCTGTGTGGTGTTTATTTTTCATTGAACAGGTATTATGCTTAAGAAAAACGATGCTGACTAAGGCATCACAAATGAAATCCGAAGATCAGGCCTGTTATTTTAATCGTGAGATGCTAACTGATGTGAATGGTAGTTATATTCGTTTGAAGGAAGTCCTGCCTTCATTGGCAAACTCAATGCCACTAGTCAGCATGTGTGGCTCATCAAACTAACCTGTAGGCACATTATTGTTGGAATTTCCTATTTTACGTTTATGCAGACACTTGAGAGTATCATAAAAGAAGTCCAGATGCTCCCTGGTAAGCGACTTGGCAACGACGCCTGTGGGTCGACGACCATGCTTGACGAAACTCCTCGTGCTCCAGAAACCGCCTACGAGGGTGTTCTGGAGGCCTGGCGCACGGCTATGACGACTAACTTGGCCAGAGCAGCTGCTATGGCGGCTATGGTAAACAATGGCGCCGATGCCTCTCGTGAAAACAAGGTAGAAGCAAAGGACCTACCTCTGATGGACAATGTGCAGGCTGCTTTTGTTGGAAGGCCTTCCACCACAGTTGGCGCTGCCGGAAGCCCATATTTGCCGAATGCAATATTTATGGGTGGTAAGTATTTGTGCTTTGTCTTCACCAAAAAACGTTATCACTGTAAACAAATATACATCTAAAGTTGAAAATTCGGAGCAGGTTACTGATTCGTGGTGGCCTTTCTCGAATTACAGCTTTAGTGTTTCCGAAAGTGACCGCCAAACATTGGAAATTCTTGCATTCTAAAGTTAGCTTTCTTTTAGCTAGGTGAAGAGCGCGTACTCGAAGCCAGTGAGCGAGTGATCTAAATTTAATATTTATGATGAGCACATGCCTTCTTCAATGTTTGTCGAACACCAAAATCAAACTAAGGCTGTTACAATCAGCGTGAAAAATGTCAAAATATGGTTTCGGTGTTATCTGACTTTGATTACAATTTCGCTGTTTTGGAATGACATGACCTCGGTTTGACCTCTGAAGGCTAATCATTATTGGGCCATTATCATGTTTTGATGAACTGGCCGCTCTGAATCGTTGTTCACATTAAATCATCGTAATTGATAGCAACTGTTCAAAATCGTATCATTTGGACATAAAAGTGTGAGCGACGTTTGGTGGACTTCGGCCCAGTCAATAGTTTTAACCAATGGAAGTCAGATCTAATTGGCTTATCATAATCGAAATGGGAGTCCTTGTAACAACTCGTCAAAAAAATACGGAAAATAAAATTCAGAGCATAAACCAACAAAGGGAGAATCGCAATCGACATTTATAATGCAAAGTGACTCTTTTCTAGGTGGTGTATGCAAACTGGAGGAGGGAGAAGGGGGTTGTTACGAAGGTGACTTGGCTGGGGAACATATTACTGGCAGCACCACTACGGACACCAGCTGTGGTCCTCATCCACCACCACCCAGCGCAGAGCGCACGACCGACGGCTTCTTTGACTCGAACAACGCCCCAAAATTCGACATCACAATCATGCAGTTAGCAGCTGGTGGCGGCAGTAATGATTGTGGGGATCCGATGCAAGTGAGCCTCCCTCGCATATATTTGCCATTGACGTTCATGTTTATCTGGTCATGGCATTCTGCATGTCTTAGCTCCTTTACCGGTTCTTGGACGGCACATTCAAGGATTGTTTCATGGAGGAGTTGATAACTTGACGCCATGCAGCTCAAATAATATTGCTATCTATCCAAGTTTGAGTGACTAATGGTTATTGTGTTTCGGTTAGCAGGGTGATTGGAGGTCCCAGAAGATGACGAAGCGATGTGGTGTCGCCGAGAAGATATCGGGTCAAATCTTCGTTCCCGACATATGTTTGTGGTGATAGGTTGCCACCGAGTGGACGTCTTAGGGAGATTAGGCGTCCTTTGAAGATGATTGAGGTCATTAAAATGATTCGATGTCGAGTGCACTGCGTGTTCTTCCATCGGGGTATCTGGAAGGTTGATTGTAGGATTGGTAGTGTGTGGTGTTAGGAAATTGGGCGCGATAATCAAATCGAAAGAAAACGATAGATCTTTTCCACCGACTGGTCTGCCGTAGGTTTGCTGAAGTGAAATGCGTGTTCCGTGCCTTTGGTGGACGTGACAGAGACTTGGGACTCGAGGCAGGCCAATTGAGAGTGGAGAGGTGAAGCAAGCCAAACAAGTGTCTAGATACTTATCGTTGCTGTGTATTGAGTAGCGATGCAAACCCCTGTCCCGGGAATCCGAAAGTCATGCAGACTCAAGGTGCTGGGCAGTCACGGCAAGGATCAACTTAGGCAAACTGTCCTTTCCAGCAGCTTATCTGAAACGCTGCTCGTAATAATGATAACGTGTGATGATTAGATCGTTACATTTGGAGCACTGGAAAATTTAAAGCTGGGAGATGAGGGAGATCAGGCCAGTGTCGGTTGAGAACTGTGGCAAGCTAGGCAGGTGTGAATTGAGAGCCAGGCTGATCTCAGCAAAATAGTGGAAACCGGATCAACCGCACCTAGGCTGACGATCGACACAGTAAGATCACGGTCGGTTGGCGTGAGAATGCGTCAGTTTAAGTAGTAACGCTTGACATTAAATCTCTGAACGACCATTTTTACATGAAGTGAATCCACATTGCCTCATGCGTGGTAAGAGCATTAGTGAATGATCTTGAGTATAATTCACATGTACGTCTGTGTAGCCAACCAGTTGATATCCTGTCTTCTTTCTTCTAAGGTTGAATGCCAAAATCGCTGAGATGGAATGGTGCCAAGAGGCCAACTGATAATGCTCGCATAATCTCTCCTATATTACTGACATTCTTCCTCCCTTCCTTCACACACATGCACACACCCACTTAACCACGAGTGCCTTACGCTCTCCATAGGATCGCAGATTGTGTCCAGCCCCAGAGAAACCCGAACCGAAGAGCTCTTTGCAAATTATTTTTTGCCCTAAACTACGCACTTACCTACCCACACCATCCCCCTAATTTTACTGGTAATGGCTTCCATGTTATTGTTTACCCACTAACAGGTAAACCATTTGAATCCGTGTCATCGTTTAATTTATTTCTGCCGCCTCATTCCTCTTCTCTCCTCGCCGTCCTTGTCATCCTTTTTAAAGTTAACACTGTTACTGAACAAACTTCCATCCATTTAATCCCATTATTTTCATTTTCATCAGATAATTTGCGCCACTCAAATGGGCCAAGACATGCTCAGGTTATCCCATCGGTCAATTCTCAATCCCTTCCCTGAATTCCTGCATTTTTGACCATCTTGCCATTTTAATTCCAGTCAAGCCTTCTTCTCTACCCCAATTTCCCACCAACCTCAAAATCCGATATTTTGGTTATGGTCTGTATGGGTACTGCTTCTACTACAAGATGGAAAAACAGCCCCTTTCAATAGAATGGAGAATACCGTCTCTCACCTTTGGAGTGTGTGGTTTCTCATTGTATACGCCATACCTATCAAGTATGATTACACGCCCACACACGTACTTAAACTTACAGGTACGATATGCATACAATAGTGAACCCGCAAACACCGCAACCCCTGCCTCACAGCTAATTAGAAAGTGGGTATTAACAGTACGTATGCGTATATCTATATACATAATCTTTCTTTTCTTTTCGCGGTGTAAATACAGCACACAGGAAAGGCGTTATTATTTTCTCAAATACACTTGACTTACTTATCTTATTTGTTTTTTTTTTGCGTTTTTAGAAGCTTGCTGAGATCTGTGGTCTTGAAACAGTGATGCTATCTTGATCCAAGAAAGCAACTTTTAGGAATAAAATACTCCGTTTGCGTGAACCTTGAGCCACACTACAGCAAACAAAGTTGTTATAGACGCTCTGAACCCCTTCGTAAACCTGAATATTTTGGCAATTGGTCTTGTTATACCTGGAGTTTGTCCATGATTTATGACATATCTAGGATAATTTAGAGCCCAACTGCGATTAGCTCACCAATTTAGAAGGCTACATATATTGCTGAAATGCGTCATTTAACAAATAACCTCAACCTGATAAATTAAGCATTTATGTCCCATTGGCTAATATTTAACTTTTACTAATGTTAAATTGGCATTTATTTTCAATCGAAAAATTCAAGATTTTTACTATTCACTGAATTGCATGCAGGTGCATTTGAACTAATCTCTATTTTAATCGGCCTATGATTTCTTTTAAGATGCCTAACCCTTGCGTAAAGTCAGCATTTTCGTACAAAGACACTTCAATCAATCATCAACGCAATCACCCACAATGAGCTCAGTTAAGCACAAGCGAGGTGTTGTGCCTGTAGCATAAGAAGAACATGCTAGCTGAGCTTGAGCACAAAGCCTCGTGTCGATCGCACTGCTGATTGCATTTATTGACCCTACATGTTCGGTCTACAGCAGGGCATGCGAGGCTACCAAAAGTTGGTATTATTCAAAAAGTGCGTGAGCATACAGAGAAGGACACCCTAAGTGCAACGAAAGTGTCATAGGACTAGTTATGACAAGATACAAACATTATTACACGAAGCTGGCCTCGATAGATTGTAACTTATGAAGTATCGTCGAGTGCGTACTAATGGATGACATAAAAGACAACAATCGAGTAGTACATATTTTGAGGCTAAAGGTACGGACTTCTGATTGATATTTATTAGTGTGCTCAGGGATACTTATTGAGATTAATGAACGAGAGTTGAGGCTTCGGTGTAAGTCACAGTAGCGTGTCTTTGGCCACCATATTCAGAAACTTACTAAAGATTCACGTGCGCACACATTACATTTTGTACATACTTTGTCTACCCACAGCTTACTTTTTCGACAACAATGTTTCTAACTACCGCGAAATTTGTTTTTCTTTCAAGTCTTGTGTGTTTCCTTAATGAAGATCTTGTACCTCATATGGTGTTTGTAAAGGAAGTTTGCTAGATCGATATGCACGAATTAATGGCATGAGTCTCGTTTGACAACATAAGGACTTACGATCACGGTCGCTACGTGGTATAATTGTTCCTACTCACGAAAAATATTGATAACTCGAATACTAAGCCAGCCAATATATGCAAAACGCACATAGATCTAAAACAAGGTTGCCGGCTAAATGATTGCATAATTTAATTATTCTACGCATTGCAGAAGAATACAGTAAGAAAAGGAAGAATATAAAACGAAATTGGATGTATGAACACATAGCGGTACTGAATGCTTCGGTCACGTTCCCTCAAGTTGCGGCTGAAACGTAAATGCAAACAAAGATTGATGAGTAGCAGAAATACGACGGAAATTGTAAGATAAACTTCACGTCTGGAAGTAGACACCCAATGTAGGCCTGTAACTGTGTTCAAAAGTAAAATTGGAGATAACGTGGACGACATGCATTGAGAACCTTTTCTTCTTGGAGAAAAATTAAGCACATTCACGATTTGAATTCAAGTCTCGCTTATTTACCTATAAAAAAACTGTCCCACGTGCCTTGAAATCAATCAAAGGATTTATTAAATGAGGACTCGTCCTATTGGACGATGAAACTACTTGTGACGTTGAAAACGCCGTACTCATCTGTACCTATAGGGAGTAGACTAACCATTATGAAGATATGGGATTGCAACTGGTGCAGCATCTGTGTTTTTGAGGACAACACTGGGTCCGAGTTTTTGAGAGTTGCAGGAGACTCCGTTGTCAAAGCGTCCACATCCGGTTGCGTCTTAGAACCTGACCATACCTTGCACCTACAGGCGAAAACAGAATTGACCTGTCACGGCTTACCAACGAGATGGAGACTAGCGATTAATCCCGCAACTAGAAATTTATCATCAATGCGATACGTTATTTTAACCAATTTCTTTGGTAGGCTTCACTACTAATTGTTACTTAGATGCGAGAAAGAAATCTGCGTTATAAATCAGCACGAACTAGAGTACTTTGGACTGTTTCATGAACAAGAGGGCTTTTCAGTACAAGAAATGAGGCATAATTAACATAAGGATAGTGAAGAGAGGCTCATTCATTCATGAAGTCACGCAAATAAGGTAAACCTACTAAATCAATGTTTTGGATGATTAGTTTTGACTATAGAAATGGACATCAAGGACGAAAGCAACACATCGCACTCAAATAACCTGAGCTGGAAACGCACACTGAATTTGATTGTACTAGGCGCGGCGAAGTTTTGCGATCAGTAAAATACATGGACAAGAGAAAAGGATAAAGCATACAAGTCCTAGCAACTAATGACAGTGTAGTTTGTTTCTGTAAAGTCAGCCAAGTCTCAAAACAAGTGCTTTTGGGTTCAGTTTGGCTGGATTATCTCAAAGTCATCAGTTGTGATAGCTAGGTCGATTAGTTTTAAGGTTATGACCACATTTTTTTGGGAACTGAGTTTATGCCGCAGTCGATAGTGATGGTGAGTATGGGGCGATAAGACACGTCATCGAAGGATCAAAATTTTTCAACCAAGGCATTTTAGTGGGCTACAAAACAAGGCTGAGGTTACGCACTGAGCATCAATGATTCATGGAAGCACTAATTAGACTTACATTAGTGAGCACTATGATAGGTTCGTCTCTAAGATTAACCCAAATTATCCCAACGACCGAGTTCGCGTGGTTAAAATCAAGAAGGAAAAGTCAAGTTGGACCAGTCCTTCATCAGAATGAACGTCTTGGATATGCCCTATTCGGACCCGATACCAAGCAAGCTTGATCATAAAGCCCAAAACGTCATTTTAGATTACATGAAGCTTGCACATGCATGGCACAGGGGAACAACGCAGACTTCGCAATTCAACGATTAAACCAAAAAACATGATACAAGAGAGCTGATTTGATAAATTTTGGTAAACAAGACGTCGCGGATCTGGCCACATAGGATTTCGTGACAACTCATCAATAAACTGTGACCGCCCCAGAAACAAACTTACCTAGGTAGTTGTATGTAACCCAGACAAAGAGGGAGAAGGGTAAAATCGAGATTCTTGGAAGAATTCGGTAAAAGGTGAAGGGATGTCAGCTGTACGCCACAAAATACAAAACCTTCTGTCGGTTCCAACGCAAAGTGGAGTTCCTGCACATAAACACAAGACAAACTCAAGATATCAAAACTAAAGCCAATAGTACATAAAATAGCAACAAATGCAAACTATTCATTAAAGTTACTTAGCAGCAAAATCTAGAAGTACAGTTATTAAATGAGTGAGTAACTGTCATTTTAGATTAAAGCAGGAAGCCCAACTACACAGTAGCTTATCGTTATTTAACAAATTTAAGGAATGTAGCCAGTATAAGGCAAATTAAAAATATAAGGCACAAAACCACACGATCTGAGAAAAATTTTGACAGGATAATTTAAATGAATTCAAAAACTTGCAATAATCAGATATATTTCATAATGCCAAATGTCATGCTACCTACTTATTTTGAGCCCACTAAACGACACAGACTGAAACACTTTTTGAATGTCCGATTGATAAAAAAAGAAGTCCTAGTAAATTTGTTTACAGCTAGACTGGCAGGAAGACTCATTACACTTAAGCATAGTTAATTCGGCTACGACCACCGAACTCGCGTATTGACTATGTCCAGAGACTAAACGGAGGTGGACACTCAACTGACAAATACTCCGCAATTAAGACGGCCTGTTTTATTCCAAGCCCAAAGAAACTTGTATTTTATTCACACAGTACCCACAGAACACATAAACCAAAAATGCATTGAAAGGGAATATACAACGCAGGAGATCAATTTGAATGTCACGGCATTAAGACATTAAATAAAATAACGAAATAGCTAATTACCTGTGGGAAAGGAGTTTTATTCTCAAGTGCATATGTGACGGTAAACGGAGAATGAAGAAGACCGAAAGGCGGGAGGCTGAGATTGATGCTGAAGGGGAGGGTTGCGAGGGCACACGACGGCAAGTCGAAAGTGACAGTGGAGATCGTGGCTTTGGGGAAACTTGGGTCTTGACCCACCTGGGGCCGCAGTCTGTCAAAAGCAATGGTCAAGAAAGCTGGGTTATCTTGAGAGTCAAGCTGCCAGAGCCGCTCGATATGCATTAATCGATTAGAAACGGGTGTTAAAAAAGAGGGCTAGAGTACCGTTAATGCCTTGACATTAAAAGGGTATTGGCCGCGAAATTTTCGGCGAATGCATTCGATTTCTGACGAGTCGTGGATGATGTTTACGAAATGTGAAGTAAGTAAGTTACTAAGCTGAACCTTGTCTTAGGAACTCGAAAGGAGTTTACGAAACGACTTCTTCAAACAGATGTAGGGCAAGAAAATTAGATTAATAATAATAAATCAGCATTCCACATTTGGGTTACACATTAAATCCTGGAGGATATATTAGCTTCGTCACTATGTGGTACCAACATATCAAGAAAGCACCGAATTTAAACCAACAGCTTAAGGTAACAAAGCAGGCATAGCAAGGGATTTGTGGAAAATTGAAGTAGATGTGCATTCAAATCAGTAGAAACCAAAGAACCCCAAAATCACAAGCTTCTAACTATTCGCTGTAGAAATCTGGCCGTCAAACAACACAGAAACCCTAGACAAATAAATCTTCCAATTTCCTATGGCATTGATCACTTCACGCTGATTGGGAGACATATTTAAACAAAATATGCATCTGAGATTTGAGAGTGACTTACCTTTTCCAGTTGACGCTATATTGACCCAAGTTGAGGATTTCAGTGTACGTTCCATTCTCCGATAAGATAAGAACTTGGACCTCCGTACAGGTTTCATAGGGGTTAAGAGGTACTAAACACATTAAAACCAAATTTGGTCATTAAAATAGAAACCTGTTAGCGCTAGGAAGTTGTTTCTATGTGGAGAAGATTGAAAAGCAGCACCTTCGACATTCCCTAAGGTTGTCGGTAAAAAAATGGTGCGAAAAGTAAGTTGGTCCACAACTACAAAGAGTACGGTCGACAATGTCATCTTTATAAAATTATTTAGCAAATGGGAACTCGCAGTACACCACCTTACCGAGGGCCCCTTAACAGAAAACATTAAAAGGTCAGTGAAGAAGTAACTTAGGTAGCCTAACTACAATAGACAAAGTTAAATTTGCACAAATAGCAGAGCTTCCCATTTTGAACAAGAAACTGCATACCCGAGTACAATAGAGGCTAGTGGCGAAATACAATCACTCTTAATGCTGCAAAAAGGAGTGCTTTAACTAACACCTAGCACATAAAATGGATTGAGGGACAAATTTACGCCTATATTTAAAAATAGTGGCTAATGTACCATTTTTATCAGAAAACAAAAATGTAGACATATTTATGAGATTACTGGCATTATAGATACCTTTTTCCAACTCCGGTAACGCATTTTAACAAACCACGAGTTAACGATAGTCGAAATTTTCTTTGTGGTAGATTACTTAGTGATGTTGCATCCAACCATCCATCCACTGTAGTGTTCGACTTCTCGTAAAACCATGTCGATGTTAGCAGTGGATTTAGATAGTTTAGAAACAGTAAAACATTATCTTAGAAGTGTGAAGAGCAACCTGGCATTGGTTGGCCTTCAAAGAGCAAATCTCCGGAAATAATTGCAGCGAATAATTACCCAGCTTTTTCAGAAGTTCACCTCAATGACGCACACTAAATATATTTTAACAAGCTTCATGAAGAGCACCTTTCGATTTTACTTTCCCACATTATAATATGGTGTGTGTACTTTTAAAATCTCATTTTTAATAGCTCAAAAACACACTTAAATTGAGAACTTGATACTTAGAAAGGTCATTCGAAGTAAAGAAACAGGTTTCCATTAGTCAATAACAAACGCAATTTATCAACAATCTGTAAACACTTGTAGACGTTTACACAATCGAGTAGATGACGCATTGAACAAGCAAAAACGACAACTGGGGAGAGAGTACTCCGCACAAATAAAATCCAAAATGAACGATGCATCGGATTTACCCAAAAGAATGATGGGTGGAATGCACATAAATTTTCAAGAGCAGTTCTCCAACAGTTAGGACCATGATTAACCTTTTACAGTCTAGAAATACGATACCCACATGACATCCACCTTGGATATTGGTCCACAAAATAAGGAATTAATTAAACTCGAACAGAACTTTTGCGATCTGCATGTTTTGCGCACACGACCATACAGAGTTTCCATAAGGGAACTGTGAGTCCATCTGTTCCACAATATAAGAAACGCAGCGTTCACTGGAAGCAGAGATGGCATGCTTGTTTAAGTTGGACGTGGGGATGGATCAGCAATAGGTTTACGAATTGGAATTCGGAAAATATTTTAGCATAGTTCGTACAACGTTTCACGATAGGAGTCGACCTTAATGTTAACTCGACGTGTTTCAAATAAGTGGGTATCCAATGCAACTTAATGCAACCAAAGCGCACACTTGACAAGCCATCACTTCTCTTGGTTTACTCACTTCCCACCGAGTCATGATTACTTAAAATATACTTCAACGTATGAGACTTGGACAGCGCAATGGACATTACTACGGTGCTGCGTGTCGAGTTGTACAAAAATTAGCGAAACTAGGTCTTATACGTCAATACTCGATTTCTCTTTCAAGATATAGAAAAAAATCGGTCGGTCTGACTTTATTTGCCCGGAAGGGCTTCTTTATATCCCAAGTTTCTCAAGTACCCGTATTTTGAAGAGTATTAGGTTTTTGTGGATAACTGATGACAGTGAGGTTGTTATTTTTAACACATCCATATCATTGCAAAACGATGGCAGATACATTAATAAAATGAGATTAATCACTGAAAAGCGTTTTTACCATTTAGATTGGGAGGATTGCGATTTCCCTTGAATAGAACACCTGGACTCTAAAAAGAAATAAGGGGAAAACGCTAAGTTTCATCTCAAATACAGACACGCCCAGTGGAACATCGGAATTAGATTGCGATAAATCTTTTGAGCGAATTAAAAAAGTACATAACTTGGGAACGAAAGTTAACAGCCAGTGCGACAACCAAAAGTGCAAAATATGCGGGCAAATTTGGTGTGACCCAAGTCACGTCGTGAATTACCTTCGAACACACGAACGTAGCGTGCATATGGGATATAAAAATCTAATTCGTGGTTTCATTTAAAGAAAAGCATCAATGAAAATATCGTTTGTGTTATTCAATACAGCCAGAGAAGTCCTAAAATACAGACCGTCCGGTATTAAAACGTGTGAGGAATAACCACAATACTTGGTAATTGTTCTTCGTGAACTATCAATTGCGTCGCCAAATAAAGGCAAAGTGCCTGACTAAAGTGAAACTGAAAGTGAGGCATCGTGAAAGGCAAAATCATCAAAACAATGAAAGTCAGACTTTACGATGAAAAGTTCGTAAAATTGGTCAAAAATGCTTGAAGGAACACACGAGGAAATTGTCTAACAACTTCACAACGAAATTAGTTAGAGTACCCCATTGCAAAGTTAACCAAGAAACAGACTATCAGGCTGACTCACAAAGTTGAAGGTGGACTTCTCAATCTCGATGGCCCAAGGTGAACAATTAGTAAGGGCTACTTCAAGTATAAACGGTCTTCCAACAACCACAGAAACCACTGGAGCATGCTAAATTATAAATAGATACGTTAAGTTATCAAAAAAAAACGAACACAGATGAAACAAAACGAAGTACCATTAATGATAGAATGCGTGCATTAATCTCCAAAGGCGGTATGGCGGACAATTGCACACGTTTTGATTGAAAACACCGAGTTAAAGTCAGTTCTGAACCTGAAACATGTGGTGTTTCACTTTCGACAATTTCGACTTTGCCATTGTTGTTCAGTGATAAGACCTTTGCACCGGGTGCAGGAAGTTGTGCAACGATGCTGTACTGCGCATCAACACGTAAACTTCGGTCACCAGCAACCGTGGGGCAATGCACGAAGATTGGACACACAAGATCAGCGCCGGGTGCAAGGCAGCTAGAGACAAAAGCCTGTGAGTAGAGGCCATCGGCACAGGATGGAGCAGACTGGCTGGCGGATTGGCCCACGTGGACAACTCCAGTACATTGAGAAGCGTCAGTGGCAGTTGAGGTCATGTCGACGTGGCCACTAGTAGTCGCGTCGTCAGCCAAATTAGCGGATATGCTACATTGAACAAATTAACGCATGTAAGCACATTTTGCACAAAGGTTGATTTATTTGATTGTTAAATCTGTAACAAGTTAACAAATATAATGTAAGTTCCAAAACTATACGAGAGAAAGGGTTGGGGCTGAAACGGATCAAAATCATGCCATTTTGTTTAAAGTAGATTTCAATACCATCCAAAGACTGTGCGAACAGAGAAGTACTGTAGACCAGAGGTGGGGTGTAATATATAACTACAAAGATCGCGATCCGAAAGATTTAGATTTTCACTTGAACTTGGATAAAAGTAACGTAATATTAAAGGCAAATACTTACGTTAAATTGGTCAAGTCACTTGACTCTGTGTTCTGTACCTGACATAAGATTACGTATTTTTCGCTGCACAAGGGTGGAGGCATGTGGCGAAGACTCATCTCCAACTTCGACGCCTTGGGCGAAATTCTGCAATAAGTACTAGTGCATTAAAGGCCTTTCAAAGCAACAGTAAAAGAGTTGGCAAAAACATACTCAACGGTTAATCGGTTTCGAAAGAATTCCCAGCGAGGAAAAACGGCACAATTAAAGGTGACGTTACAATCGCAGGATACGAGAGCACGCTTGAGTTCATCTAAGCGATTCGTATAATTGCAAGAAACTGGAGTAGGAAGCGGCAGCCAGTCATACGTGGAAGGCAACCACCGGAAGCAATAAGGTCGGCTGCAATCGCCGAGATAAGTAAAACTAGCCTCAATGGCTACCACCTGCAAAATGCAAAAAAATATTTCACGACGCGTAACCAAATAGAAGCCTAGTAAAAACATAGTATCTTATGAAGAGAAACCGTGAACACAACCAATCATAAAATGAGAGGAGAACAGAAGTACAATGCAAGCGTTTCCCATTAACTGAGCGATTGAATAAAACATTCGAACAAAAAAATACCTGTAAACCCGAGGCCAGTTTGGCAGGGTCAATAGTGAACACGATGACTTTAAGGTCGCTAGGCATCAAGATGAGTGGTCGGCAATAGTAACAAATGATGGGAGAGGAGGCAGCGGTGGAAGCATCACGAAGAAATCCATCCAGTTGATTCACTTGTCCGTGTAACGCTTCAGAGTTTAGCTTCACCAATAAGGAATCGATTGGTAGAGGTAAAGGAGCAAATGATCTAAAGGGTTAAGGGAAATAAATATACATAAAATGTAGAGGGAGTTGCAGCATTATTAAATATTTACTAAAAAATAAAGAGCGTATGATCAACAGAAACCCCGAGAATAGAAACAGATTTTTACAGCGACTGGCCTAGGGTATATTTTGGATTAACAGTTAATGATTAAAAGCAAAGGCGGGCGAGATTTACAGATACAATGTACCTTATGCCACGTTCCACGTCCAACTGGATTTAGCGACAAATGACTACCGGAAGCTCAAGCAAAGAGGCGTCAGGACTCAGACATATTAAATAAACACTTCCCAACAAAATGACAACCTATTTAATCGTTTGACCTCTCAAAATGTATTTTAAAAAGTGACCGCTTATGGAAAAGAACGTATCGATGTACCCGATCCAGCATTGGATTAACAACCAGTTCACGAAGTATTTGAGAAGCAACCCAGTTCCGTACACCAGAAATGAATAAAACTCACTTTAGGAAGACAACGAGCCTCACTGGTTCATCGATAGAGAAGGATGGCTTCGCGAATTCCGCCTTCACCTCAACTATGGTTAGAGAAAGAAGTTTTGAGAAACAGAATTCATAGACTGCAAAATGAGCTAAAAGTCATACCACAGCTCTTCAGTTGTGAAAGGTCGATGATTTCGGGTGAAGTTGATTCGAATTCCTGAACACAGTGGCCAACGGCAGTATTAACAGGTCCAATATCTTGAAAATCATTCGTTTGCTACAATTTGAAGTAACACAACACTCGTCTAGGCGATGTAGGCAAAAATGGTTACTATACTCAGGATATGTCAATACGATATATGTTACAACGAAAAAGATCATATTCAATGTCATTAAGCTGTGCAGGAAATGGCCCATGAACGTAGCACTACATTTGAACCTAGTTAATATCAAGTATGAAAATAGAATAAAATTACCAGGAAGATTAATTGGTGGATGGATTCTTTTTCTTCCTGAGTAAGATCGCTGTCTACGGGAAAACACGAAGTCAAGGAACTATCAAATAAAATTAGACAAGTAAAAACATTAACAGATGCTAGAAATGGATTTGAAAAAAACGTGGTGTAAGTAATGTCTTGCAAATTTAGAAAAAAAACAATCTATTTGACCACAATCATAGCTCAACACGTTTAAATCCTTGTTACAATTGATCAGCATGCAAACAAGACAATGCTTGATGGAAATAAACCTATGGACGGGATCCACTACTGACTCTTCAGAAAAGACACGCTAAGTGTTACGACAGGGACACTTGACATTGAAGTCGTCTGTCATGGTAAGTAGTGTTGACAGACTATAAAGTCCACACCGTACTCAATTCGAATTGCAGGACTACCAATCAGCGGCGGACCGAAATGCCGTGGGGACCAGCACTCACATATGCTGGAAACAAAAAATGGACGTATTTGATTAACGTGATTTACTTAGTCATGGAAAACAAAGTGCGGTACTAAGGAAATGGTGTAAATAAAATCAACAATACCAAACAGCGGAGAATACCTGTGAATCAAAACACTTTATTTTAAGGAGACCGGTCAAGAAATGATTTTACTAACCTACCAGTCCAAATCAACAGCCAACAGGTTATTGCACATTTATTACTGCTAAAATTAAAACCCTATGAATAAAGTCTAATGGAAAGAATAACCCACTTAAGAAGTTCCAGACTTCATGGCTATCGATTTTTTTTGAATTGCACGAACTTCAAAATAGTAGAAATCTAAAGACTGAAAAAATTGCACTCTGGCGCGCGGGCTACCGAGATCACTTGCACTGAATAATGTACACTAGAGAACCCCAACCCTACGACCATAAATACTGCTACACTTCACCCCACCGGAGCGCCACTTTACCACTGTTTCACTATAACCCTATCAACGAGCCGCTCATTCACGGACACTTGCAATACCCACCAAATTACTCGTATTTAGTTCCTGCCCACATCGGAAGCTGCCCTCACGCATGCACCCATTACTCACGAAGAGGCAAACGCAGACACAGAACTAGAAAGCGAGCTTCCGCCTTTCTAGTCTGGTTGAAGAGCCTTTTCTCCTGTTTTTGCGGTGGACCGAGTCATTATGATCACGAAATAGAACGGGGTCAGAGGTCGTGGAACTCCCCCAAACGAAGATTTTACTACTCACGGACAGACGGAGCCAGGATACACGAAAAATTTTCTGAAAGATTTATTGCCGAAGCTCTGGCAGCGAGGGTAAATAGCCGACTAAATCTGGATGCACTGGTAAAGGATACAGATAATGGTATACTTTCGGCTCAGTCTTTGGAGAGTATGGAGCTGGAACAGCTGGCCAATAATTTTAGGAAAAGAGGATGGGAATCCCTATGCAATGCGAGTCAGAGCAAATCGCAACCAATATTGTGTTACGGAAGCATTGAGGATTCTTACTACCAGGCGTGAAAATTTACCAAAAAGTTAATTTCACGCGGTAAGACACGCGGTACATAAATGACAGCGCTATCCTACGGTAACCACAATTGGTAGAAGGCATCCCGGATCAATCCGTAAACACAAAGATGTGGTCAAAACAGGTGCCTTAAATTAAACACGGGTATAAATTACGACATCAACTTGGAAATTATCCAACCGACTCGGGTTCCTTCAATTCATTTGTGAAAAGTGATTCAAAACAAACGAAAGCCAAGTACGCTTCATTGAAAGTAAATTTCATCTAGTGCAACATGGATAAACCACCTGAAACCATTTTATCAACAAAAAAACTGATTCCACGTAAGTGAAGTCTGTCTTACCGAGTCAATTATGTGGATATAAAAAATCTGGAGACAATGAAATCAGGTTGTTCAGATAAGCACAAAAAGCATCGCATTGTTTCCAAAGGCACAGCCAATGCGATGCAGTGGGCGATCGTGGGTGAAGATAATTTAAGACAATAAACACAAGTCTACGCCTGTTAAAATATTTATAGTGATCGTTACAAATCTGGTCATTTGCGCCGTACGTTATCCTAAGTCCAAGGATTGGATTATCCTCGGCGAAAAGTTCAAACTATACGACGGACATTTCTAACGTAAGCCCCACAGATCTTCACAGCAGGCCAAATTAAAACATATGGACAGACACCCTAGCCTAGGGGACGAATCGGGACCCGGCACCATCACTGTCCACGACGCACAGCACGGGAGTTAAATGCAAGAAATTAGGCATGATATCATGCAGACAAAATCCGAAGCGCTTAAAAGGATACAATCCGAGAGGAGTTCCATTGCAAAAGAGATTGTCATGGAATGATGTTTGAGCTTCAATGCACACCTAGAGTGGGAAAAATGGGCATTGCATTAATAAGGACAAGGCTCAGTGGGGACTTGATAGGCCCATTAGTTTCTAGAGCAACTTACTGTAAAATACGATGGCAGATGGAAGTGAAGACCAACTTCCATCCGAAATGGCGAAACTCGTCCACAATTTTGCAGTAATGGCTAGAAGGGGGATTGAAATGCATAAATGCGTGACACAACTACGCTCAAAATCAGAAAAAAAGCTTTCACATTTGCAACAATGCGGCTTAGCAGTTGAAAACCAATAATGATTACAAAATTAGTTTTCCATAAACAACCTAACAAATAACACTGAAGAAATTGTTTAATTATTCACACATCCAATGATCATCATTAAAAAGCCAAAAAGAGGTGTGTGGAGATAGAGCTTATAGGTGTCTGAGGATTGACACATAAGTGTAACTGAAAGGAAGTTGAGAATTTACCGAGAAAGGGAACACCCGCATTGATGTTACATCGATACGAATTAAATTTTAAGAATATTCAAAATGATTGGTTACACTTTAGGTGTTTACACGCCAAAGGTATTAATAACCCTGAATAACAAAGTATAACTCCCTTTTCTTACGGTAAATAATTAGCTTCGGTGGCATAATGGACCACAATGTCCAAACAGATGCCCAGCAAAGCATATTTGGGTTAAAATACCCTTATTCACTTCAACAAACCAATAAATCGAATTAGACAATGACGATGGCAATGACACAGATAAACAGAAATGAAAAGATGTTTACGTTGACGAACGCCGAAGGCGATACTTACACGGTGTTAAACTTACTCAAGAGCGTTTTCATATTCCTCCTTAAGGAAAAACTCCTCGGCAATACAAAAAACTAGAAGCAACGAAAAATAAGACGCCATATTAGAAGTTAAAAAAATTCTGTTATACCGATTCAAAGGAGAAATCTACGCCTATTTATAGTCACTAAAGTTGAGTTTCGCTCTATTTCCACGTCAGCATAGTTTTGGGTAGGTTTCAATGCAACCACGATTGCGTCGCACGTGCAAATGTAGGACCTGGGCCCTACGTCAAGTCGGATGACAATTTCAGACAGTGTAAACTTCCCTAGATCATTTCAGATGGAGCTTACTTCTGTAACACGTTCAGGAATTTTACAGAAAATCAAGAGTTAAAATTTGTTTCAATGTTTATGGTATACACTTCTAGGTTAAAGATGAAGCCCGTGTGAAACAGTTTGGTTGAAAGTGCTACCTCTGTTAAAAGGTCAAAATACATACCTTAAAACATGGGAACCTTTGAGGAATAAGCGAAAGTTGTTTCAGGAAAACGAATGGATGGAACCATATAGCAAAGTAAAGCATTGCCAAGTTCCGCGCACCCACCACAAAAAGCTGAACTGGTGTAACAACCAGGACAACTTAAAAAATACACATCCACGACATTCAACATAAAATCCTTACTTACGATATTCATTATTTTGAACAAATTGCAACAAAATCAAATTAACTCTATGCCGGCTTGAAAGTGACTTAAACTCATCCTGCATTAGTTTCGGTTTAGGTTGTTTGTCACGTGGGTTTGAGAACATTCACTGTGTGGATAATTGCAGATGTGATTTTTGATGGGAAAAACAAGTTTGAATTCTGTACAGAGTGTGATGAGGTCAAAATGTGACGAAAGCTGTTAACGACTGTCACAGCGCTCTCACATACGGAAATACTTGAAAAATGGTTGCAAAGACGGATGTGTCTTCCATGAACATGCTACACCACCGGTTGCATCAGAATGAAAACAAAGACAGAAGATGGACCTTTAGCATTGATCTTTTCAAGTGGACCACTCAGGAATGAGACTGAGCCAAACAGGCGCAATTATTCAAAGCAGGAACTGCCAGATAGTTGCGCAGGTTTAAAAGAGAAGTAGTGAAGTCAATGGACATAGTTTTTCGACACCGCAATATACCGATTCAAACACATCGATAATATGTGCTAAATAATTCTAACAAAATTCAAAGCTAACATGTACATCCGCAGTGTGAATGTTTACTAAACACCAACGAGTCCTACGATGACAATAGGTCCATGAAATTAGGATCGCCAACGACAAGCATACTTGAAATTACAATGAAAGTGGGTACGAATCAGATCGGAACTCATGGAAAAGCTTTATTGCATTTGAAAAGATATTGTTTACATTAAAGTACGGTTCTGAATGGAAGCTTCCTTACTCAGATTAATGATATTTGGGGCAATGTAATCAAATAAAGACGATCTTAAAGCTATTCAGAATTACAATATCCAAAACGTTGGAAAAAATTGCATGTCTACAGATAATTGTGGTATCCTGGACAAAAATTCCCAACATGGTAAGCTGATGCAAAATTATGGTTGGTGATGTTCGAAACCTCGAAACCTTATTGCAGCATTTCCGTCACGACGAAACAGTGGTAAATAATGTGTCGCATTTTCGACAATCTCTCGTTTCACTAAGTTCCAACAACGGCTTCAATGAAAACAATATTTAACAGTCGGAGCCGGGAAATCGTGAAAGGGAATATACTACTTGAGATATCAGAGTAAAAGTCATTCAAAAACGGTATTTCAAACCTACAAATTTACGAAATATGTGAAAGGCGTGATAGGAATATTAAGTGATGGCATTATGCAACCACTTCCACTGTCTGAGTTCCTTTACACTATATAAAAGTAGGCATTGACAAGGGAAAACGAGAAGGCCTAACTTACTGGGATAAAGTTGCATTCTTTTTGCATTGTAACGTTCAAAATGATGAGATGCACGAGTAAAGAGTGGAATTATTAGTTCCTAGAAGTAAAAACAGGTAGGACGTAGATGGGGGAGCGTATCATACAGGATGGCCACAAACGCATTCATCTAACGCAACTGATTTGTTCATGCGGCCTTTGACGCAGAAACGTATGCATGGAGCAGAATTTGTAAGTTAAGTCGACAAAGGTTGACTAAAATACAGGCGTTCACATTTTTTCCAATATGGATTCGTGTGTGTGCATAAAGCCCAAATGAAGCACAAAGTCTGTCGCTTTCTCCACGACAGAAGTAATGAATTCGATTATTTGCTACCACACGAAGTGGATTTAGGTTGGAATTATAGGTCTGAAGCTTGAGAAGAAGACTTGCCGAATAGTCAATTTTCGCTTCAGTCGCTTGAAGAGTCATAATTCCCTCTCGTTCTTTGGTTCGGTCGGTAGTCCCTACAATTTGTCCAGGGTTTTGCCAGGAGTGCTGACCAAAATATTCCATCGAAGGATCGACCACCGCAGAATTCGCATCTCCTGGAAGGTGCTCAGAGTCTTTGTATACTCGAACGGCCCCACCGACAACATCCCTAACCCCCACTTTGCACTTGGACGGACTGAGACGGGGGCTACTGTGTGTACCACCATCAACGGCTTTATCAACACCAAGTTGATTGGCTATTGAGCGTCGCATTAACATGTGACGGCCAGCCTCATGGAAATAAAGTCCCGGGTGTTGTGTGAGGAGGGGATGCACGCTAAGTCGAGTTGCCTCGTCGAATAGTTCCCCGAAAATCTCGTACCTAGAATTTCCAGGAAAAAGCCTCACGTTTGTCAGTAAATGCCTTGTGTGAATGCACATAAAGCAAGCTCATAAACACTGGCCGATAGCACTCTCAACCAAGTTTGAATGTTTTATTACAAAAATTGAAAGCTCCCCACCTGGAATAAACAATACGAAACGTAGATACAATCCCCAATTTGCGTCTTTAGAGGCATAACAATTAAAGTATTAAAACACTACAGTTCTTCATTTTGAGAAATAAGTATCACGAGGTACCAGAATATTTATCAACAATTATTAGAAGGTTTAACAACATAGTAAGCTATGCTAAAAAGCTTTCATCATAAGTCTCACCATGTTGAAGTCCAAAGTGCTGCATAATGGTCATGTTCAACGAAACCGAACAATTTACCACAATTACATCGTGCTAACTACCATTCACTTCATTTCGTCGAACTGAAAAACCATCGAGAAAACCGACACAGAAAAAACCAGATGCAGTTTCGTTTGCGTCCTTCTAGCATCTGCCAAACCGACATACCTTTTCACTTAAGTCAAGACGATATCGTTGAAAAAACATTGGGAGGACAACGCCATTTGGAGGAACAATAAATTAACTTACTGCATTGAAAGCCAAGCTTCGTGCTCGAAGGCCAATTCTGGCATCCCCACAACTGATTTAAAGAAATCTATGTGGCGTCGAAATTGGGCGATTGCTTCCGGAGCATGCAATTGAAAGAAAATCCTGCAGATCTTAAAAATAGATATATTTTAGGATTATTGCACATCCAAAAAAATATTTACTGACTCATTTAAGCTACAGTTGCTTTTGTTTGTGGGTGTGGGCGACGGCTTGAAACGTTAAACAGAATGTCAGTCACCATGCTCCTACCGTTCCCAACCAAACCGAAAACAGGGGTTGCACACGACCATGTGTCTGCTGCTAAAAGAAAACGTTACCTTAAAGTTGATGAACCCAGCGACCACCTTGAATTCAAGCAGATCTGCGTCTGTCATTTTCATCTCTAACAAATGATTATATGCCTGTCGATAATGTCTAAACAAAAGTGAAAATATCGCAGATAGTTTGAGTATTGAAATAGCGCGAAACAAGACTATATTAAAATCGCACGAATGGTATTGGCTACATGGAAAATCGAAGATATTAATATTGGACGACAGACAACAGGATCATAAAAATTTTGGGATGGAAGAAACAGGAGAGACTTTAAATGTGTTGAAATACGCAAGCTTTCGACAAGTCAAAACATATAGCTTCAAGTTACATAACAAAAGTAATGAACTTATGTATTGTAAACCAAAAAGTATCAAATTGCATTTGCTCCAAACAGATTTAGTTTAGTAATAATTTCAATACATACTCATCAAGGGGTACAATAACAAAAAATAACGGTGATTACTTGAGAGCAAGGTTAGAATCCTGTTTCAATTCGTCGAAAAACGCAATTTTAAAGTCATGGCGAACAAAGAGAAGCTAAAAGAATGAAAAGGACATAAGACGGATCTACGCCTTTATAGAGCTAGATAATAGTCGACTAACCTGGTGGGTGGACTTGTTGAGGCTAGATTTATGAGCTTTCACCCGTTTAGCGGCATTGTGGTAGTAGTTTGAAGCCATGTCATGAAGTTCAGTTTCCAAACTGTTAAGAGAGTAATGAAGACGATAGTAATGCTCTGGTTATCGATGGCGTAAGTCGAGGTATGATGTTCATCGTTGCACGTACCGCGTGATGCATCCAAACATAAAGTCCGATTGTTGTAAAACAAATAAGTTTTTCACATTTAGCTGACACTGGTTGCACAATTCTTGAGCACGTTCTGTTGAACTAACTTCATCGCCGCTCTGATTTGGTGCTTTACTTTGCAGTAAAACCACAACGACTTTAGTGGGTCGTGAAATAAGGTTGGATCTAGAAGTGAAAATAATTTAATCAGCTTTATTCAAATTATAATGAAAAAAATAAGAGTAGTCTAGGTGGTACCGCACGATGTTAACACGTCCGACACATTCCTTCACTTTTTCATGCCAATCTTTTTCATTCCATTCAAGATCAAAAAAGACAACCACCACTGCCGGCAATTCGTCGAGATGCTTCTTCATCCAATTTCGTTTTAACAGGCCTTTCGGCAAGTACCATTCATACTGTGAAGAGTACTGCAATATAAGTTTAAGATATAGACGGTAATAATTACCTTTGGTTGGGTTTTTGGATATGCGTGATCAAGCGGAAGGTTTTTAAACTTTAGGGGGGCACGATCACTGCGCCGATTTTGAGAAAACCCTTTCCACACTGACGCGTGAAAGGGATTAGAGTCCACATCAAGACCCGTCAGAACGATGAGGCACTTAGGTCTAACCTGCAGCTCCTGGGGAAGGTGCTCGAAGTCACGCATAGCAAAATCTGTAAAACGAGTCGATGAGTAAAACGGCGGCCAAAAAAAACATTTTCGAATATTACAAAGTAGAGCCACGGCATCAAAGCAAATGCCCACGGTATTACAAGAATTGTGGGTGAAAATGACAGCATGGTACAAATAATGTGATGGTATTTTAGCCAGGAAATTGCAAAACCAAAGTATAATTAATAGAAACAGAAAGATGAATCAGTTTGGTGAAAAATCTAGGAGAGGCGTTATGTTCAAAGCATGACAGAACACGGAAATATGGAAACTAGGGCTTTAATCAGTATTTAAAATAACCTGTTTTTGAAAGCCATCACTAACCACAAACAGGCGGGTATTCAGAAAGTTTTGTCGATAGACGTTTCGAACAGCACTATGATTAAAATGCCCATTCAACGCAATGTATGACCACACCGAACCTTCTTAAATATGATTTTGGCAAAATTCACATACCAAACGCGCAGTTCAAATACTGTGGATGCAATTCAGAGCCAAAACAACCGAGATTACCAGCGCCTTGGGGCTCGTCCAAAATGCCACGTAACGCCGATAGCAGATCAAACACAAACGAAACAACCTATGAGTTCGAATAGGATATGGTTTCGCTAACGAATTTCACATAAATTAAAAGATTTTTTTCCTCAGCGATATTTTACGCAAACACCGTCATAATCCTTCAGAGTGGAATAACAACACACCTGCACACATGCACGTGCTGATTGGTTCACGGGATCATAATCAGCTTGAGCAAATAGGTGCACGAAGTATGCATCAAGCAGATAATGAAGGTTTATCAAGTCCCTACCTTATTAAACAATTTAACGTTTAAATGTATTTCCAATTCTAGTCTTTCAAAAGGACCCGTAAATAATATTTCATTTGCGAATGCTCGAAAATTTAAGTCGTGTTAAATCCCAGTCGATTTAGATACATGCGGGACAAATAATTAACTTACATAAACAACATTCTAGATTATCAGCTTGACCCAATTCATTACATTTTTTGATACCCGAAATACAAACGTTCAAAGGAAACGCCTTAATTAAAGAATCCATTGCTCGTGGGTGTTTGAGAACAGGAAAGGAAAAAGATTAGTTGCTTAGTGACTTTCTATCAGCTTTCCTGTGCTAATATATTCAAAACTGAGAGAACCACCTGCGGTTCAGTCTGCGGGACTACTAAAATATTTTTCGAGATTTGCGAATATGCTTGGTTCATCAGGTTTCGGTACCAAATTTTGTGTCATTTTGATGTCGAAACAGATTAAAGCTAGAATGCATAAATATAAACGTACATTTAAATTTGTAAATTTCTCCTTAGTTAATTTTACGGGGTCCTTTTGTTTTAGCCCATAGCGGTTTCAGTTTTTCTGAGGCGTCTAGCTGGTCTTTTGGCCATCTGCATGTGGCTCCATAGTAAACTAATCTAGAGATTTTTCTGAATGTTAGTAGAATTTTTATTATACTTGGTTTTTTTTTTTCGATTAATTGGTATGATGCTCCAGGGTCGTAGAATCATCCCCTATTTGTTGATAAAACTAGATGTTTCCTCGTCTTACTTCAAGCTGCACCCACTTCTTAGCTGACAACAAATTTTTTTATTACAGATGTGCTCTCGTACGATTCCTTAAGAAATTGGGGGATTTGTTTTCGTTTGCCTCAAGCCCCTTCTTTGACTTAAATTTGGTTTATAATCACGGAACATAAGTAATGCTCCGTAATTTGCTCGTTTCATTGTATGTAAGCAGATCTGGTCCGTTATGTAACACCTTTTCTCTGTACTGCATGGGAGTCTGTTTCCAAATATTCTTTCGGATTTAGTTATCTTAAGATGTTGATTTAGCTTAATGTGTTGAAGTTAGGCACTTTTCTGTAGTGAATTCTCCTAGGTATTACTATCCAGTATTTTTTAGCAAAAGAAATGTCGAAATGCGATCCCTTCCGTTCGAAAACTGAATTCAAAGGCAAAAAACAAAAGCGATCACAAGGGTCTTCTCACTACCGACCTAAGGCTCCGACTGAACTTACGCCATTGCCGCCTTTACGAGATACACCGGCTAACGAACAACAGGAGCTGTTTATCAAAAAACTCCAGCAATGCTGTGTCGTTTTTGATTTTTCCGATGCCCTCACAGATACTCATAGTAAAGAAATAAAAAGAACATGTCTGAGTGAATTAGTGGAATATGTAACGGTCACTCGTGGCGTTCTGAATGAAAATACTTATCAGGATATTATAAGAATGGTATGTTGTATTGTATTCGGCGGTGTACACTTTTCAATTGGAGAATCACTTGTTTGGCGTCTCATCGAAAGATTAGCATGTAGGTCATAATGCCCCAACTCCAATTAACAGTTTCTTAGTAGTATTCTTATAAGCGTAGGATTTCTTTTGCAATCATACCACTGTATTTAGTTATCTGTAGACACCTCCCAAACTTCTCGTACCTTGGAACCTTAGTTACCCAGTAGCTCGAGAAATTGCTGTTTTCAGCCTCAATTAAATTCCGTTGCGATTTAAGTGTCTTACCAGGTCAAGTTCCTTTCTTCTAACCGGAATTTCCAGAGTTACCAGCCTTAGGCACTAATTTCTAGCTTGTTGGGTTTATAACCGTAACTATGGGATCTTTCGACATTAAGATTGCGTGCAATATCTTCCGAACCCTGCCCCCTTCGGACAACCCAGATTTTGACCCGGAGGAAGATGATCCTGTGCTTGATTCAGCCTGGCCCCACCTTCTTTTCGTTTACGAGTTCTTCCTTCATGTTCTTGAATCTTCGGAGTTCCAACCCAGTATTGCCAAGCGCTATATTGATCACAAATTTGTGCTGCAGCTACTCGAGCTTTTTGATAGTGAGGATCCAAGGGAACGGGACCTCTTGAAGACTGTCGTACACCGCATTTACGGGAAGTTCCTCGGTTTACGATCTTTCATTAGGAAGCAGATCAACAACATCTTTTTGCGGTTTATTTACGAAACAGAACAATTTAATGGTGTCGGCGAATTGCTAGAAATTCTAGGGAGCATCATTAATGGTTTCGCGCTGCCGCTGAAGTCGGAGCATACACGTTTCCTCATCAAAGTTCTTATCCCGCTCCACAAGGCGAAGTCTTTGGGAATGTTCCATGCTCAAGTGAGTATATCATTTGTCTTACTTCACATCGTTGCACTTCGCAACTCAAAGCGTTTTTAAAAATTCCCTCAATGCATGTCTCTTTGTGTGTGCGACCTGTGAATTGGAATATGTAAACCCATAATGTTATGGTACCGGATGCTTCATTGGGATAGTCTCCTCAGTTAGTACTGAAACCAAAAGTGCATTATACCTATTTCGTAAAATCTATTCAAGCCTGAGCAAGTGGTGGTCTTTGTTAAATGATTTTCAAAAAGGGCTTCATTTGATATTTCCAGTAGCTTACACATCATAATTAGCAGTTTGGTAAATGTATTAGAACCACAATGCCTTGGGATTTTTGAGACGGCATGTTTTTAAAGCTGAGTCATTTACGTCAGGTTTAGTTGGTTCTTATATTGCAGCATAAAAGCATGTGATACTGCGCAAGAATTTCGCCTAGTTAAGTAACCCGTTCCTTATTTAGCATGATTTTGCTATTACTTCACAGTTAACCTACTTCTAAAATTTTTTGCAGCTTGCATACTGTGTAGTGCAGTTTCTAGAAAAGGATTATAGCCTCACAGAAGAGGTCGTTCGCGGTTTGTTGAAATTTTGGCCGAAAACCTACTCTCAAAAAGAGGTCATGTTTCTCGGCGAGATTGAAGAGATTCTCGATATCATCGAACCAACGCAGTTCAAGAAGATTATGGTGCCTCTTTTCAGACAGATAGCTCGGTCTGTCTCTAGTTCTCACTTCCAGGTACGCTTCCACAACCCCACAACTTCTGATTTGTCTGTTTTTTTTCATCAAGTTTCTTGAAATTCAACCTTACAATTTAGTGTGCTGCAGGTTGATGTCCGCTCAACGTTGACATAACGCTAACTCTCGTTCCTAGGTTAAAAAATTGCTTTCTGTTTGCATTAACTCAATATGTTGTAGATAATATTAGCAAGGTAAACGAAATTTCTCAAGAGATTAAACGCTTTTGAAATAATTTTGGCGGTCGAATACGGCTCTTCATGCATCTCATTTGGCCCCCTTTATGTGGTGTTTTCAATCATGCTCAATGGTTTAGCTTTGTTGTTACTTCCAATTTTCTTTATTAATGGTGGTTGAACTGATATTTGTGTGTGTACATAATTTGGAGTTTAGTCTTCGGGAAATGCTTCCAGTACAAATTATCTGCCAAGGAAAATCATCGGTCCTTATGTGGTGAAGAAATATCACGTCCAATTCACACAAAAGAGCTCTTGAATCCATTTGGTTGTTGCGTGGGTCCAACATTTGATCGCAGGCCTTGGTAGCTATCGTTAATTAGTAATAAATCCAATGGTTGCAACTTCTAAGTTTTACTGCATAAGTCATTAACAGCTCAACGTTCCGAATTGTGTATTTTTGTGCCATTCCTTGTTTTGAAAACAAACCCAATTTAAATATGACCACGAAAGTTACGAATCTGCTTCGTTGATGCCGCGAGCACGCATCACCTCATTATGGATGTAAATCTCATACATATTATTACGTTGCACAATTCTATAGATTGCATTTTCGTGCAAATTCATGTGCGTTATCAGTTTCTGTAAAAACCTTTTGACAGTTCTGGCGTAGTAATTGTGTCGCCTCGACTCTCAGTCACTAAAATTGCGAACTTTTTTGTCGTTTTCCGCGTCGATTGCTTGCTGGTGCATCTTTCCGGTAGGTGCCCTTAAAACGCTGCAGGAACTAACTCCAATCAACGATGTTTAACATTTTAGCCTTCTGGCTAGCCATTATGTGGTCTAATTTGCGCTTGTCGCTTCAGGTAGCAGAACGGGCCCTTTACTACTGGAATAACGAGTATCTTGTATCCCTAATTGAAGAAAATAATGAGGTGTTGTTGCCCATCCTCTTTCCTTCATTTTACCGAATATCACGCGAACACTGGAATCAGACAATTGTAGCCCTGGTTTTCAACGTTCTGAAGACGTTTATGGAAATGAATCCCGTCCTCTTCGATGAACTTACCAAGAATTACAAGGCCGAGAGGCAGAAGTATGCCGCTCTTGCTGTTAAACTTGGCGTATATTGTTGAGTGTATGCGTTTCTGCAAGTATTTATTTTTTTCGTTATGGGAATTTGCTTGGTCTTGATAAGGCAATATCATCACAAGACCAGCGATCATCCTGAATTTCGAAATTATTTTCATAGTTGGTCAGCTTTAGCATTTGTTCAATTTATTTCGAGGTGCCCATATTCAGGTTTATAAACTATATCCTTTCCTTTAAATCCGAGTCATTGATGCAATTAATAATAAAGCCTATTTTACACACATGCACACACATATAAATATTTTGCATCAAAGCGTTTTTGCAAGAAAAATTGTTTCTTGTGCATGTTTTCATTTTGTCGCATTGTGTGCTGTATTTTTTTTGATGACATTAATTTTTTCTCATTCTAAGGATTTCATTGGACCTCGGTAAACCTAATAAAATTCGCCTGATCAAAATCATGGATGTGATTTTTCAAATACTTGAATGCATTTACTCTTTTTGTGTTGCATATGTCGTCAACCTTTCTAATCATTGACATTTTTTAAATGCAAAAAAACACTTCCTATTACATTATCGTGTTTTGTAATTTTTTTTAGAGAGAGACGACGGGAAAAAGAGCGCGATGACCTCTGGAGGAAATTGGAACAGCTCAACCTGAGTGGCGCGGGTGATGACGGCGTTATTGGTACGTCAAGTCTCCTCCCTGGTGGTGTTGAGGCTACCAACTCCGTGGATGGATCAAATTCGACTTCTGGTGACCTCACTCCAAATAAGTCCTCTGCCATTTTCGCCGTGGCCGCCGCAACACCAACCAAGGTCTAGATCCTCGTGAAATAAATTCTGCTCACTTATACATTTGTATATCTAAACTTGATTTGACCCCGCTCTCCCTGTATAATACAATCATTCATGCAAACATCAAACTCGCATACGCATTTTCTTTGCTCCGACTTCTAGCGCATGTGTTGAAGTGCTTTTACACGTCATCTTTGTTCTCTCCGAACTTCGCTTCTGTTACCTTGGCTGTCTGCACATGTGTGCATTGATACGCCCTTGTCCCCTCCCTCTTCACTTTATCTCAATCCCATCTATTTCAGTGCTGTGGTGCCCTATTGGTTGCAACTAAATTAGCGTGGCGCAGTTCGGGCGTGTTATTTGTACCAAGTTTCCATCTGTCTTTTATATCGCTCCTGTAATTCCTTTGATCTCGTGTGGTTCTCGCCTTTTCTAGTGAATAGGTTAGAAGTTATTTCATGCAGGAAAACTTTCAAAAATAGGTCCATCGACGAGCCTAGTTGTTTGTTGTTGTCCCTGACGACGTCTGTCGGTACAGTTCGTTGTGGGTCATGTTCTCCTCAATTGTTTGTACGTGTAGATTAGTTCCCAGTTCAGATATCGGATTTCTGCTTGGTTACAGTGAATTGGCAAGGTCTATGATCTATTTGGTGTGACTTTGTTTTTTTTTGCAATTTAAGTTTCAAAAAAGATAACAATTAACTCAATCCCAGATCTATTGTCCATCGTTTTCAATTATCTTGCGCCATCTCTCAAGTAACGTACGAATGCCGTCGCGAAAGAAACATAGCGGACTTCAAGGCAAAAAGTCGTCGACGAATTTTCGCGCATCGTCCAGCGTTTAGAACCGTTTAGCTACCAGGACGTACTGCATTGACCGAAACATATGGCAGTCGGATGATGCCAAGTCCGGTGGATATGCCGCGTGCGGGAGAACTTCCCATCCCAAGTTCAAGAGGGTCCTCTTAGTCGCGCGAGCAGCATATGTCCGAACGTTTTCACGCAGCAGTTTGAATTGTCTGCTTTCCTACCCAGGAAATGCACTTTTCTTATCAAGGCCTTCACTAAGTTTGTTCAATCGTCGGTTGCAGCGTTCCGCAGTCACCGTCCGACCAGTTTCTGGGACTTCGTAGTAAAGTACACTCGATGCCCCACCAAGTACACAGGAGAACCTTCTTCAAGTGGATGTCCTGATTCGGCGCCGATGTGCTGGGCTGCCCGGGATATAAACCACGACTTTTGTGTTTGGTATTCTCGTGAAAAGTATACTTTTCAGAACCCGTCACAGTTGTCCACAATAAGTCTTATGCTGCAGGCGGGCAGGCAGTGAAAGGCATGTGATCAGACGCTGACCTAACTTGTGTTCGGGCAACACAGATGGGGGACTCAATTTCTACGTTTTCGAGTTTTTCCAATTTGGTGCAAAGCCTTGGAAATTGCTGTTTGGGCGACATACAACTGAGCTGCAAGCTCTCGTTTCGTCTGCATTGAGTCTTCATCCATCACCGCTTGTAATTCCACATCTCAAAACTTTCGGGGGTGCTGTTCGGGACCCGTCTGGACACTAAGATTGAAATCACCACTTCAAAAACGCTTGTATCTTTAATTACACGTTTCATGGGTCAAAACGTTAGCGCCGAGAACACTACAAATTGATTCCCGAACCTCCTTGTTGGCGTTCGCATAAATTAATACATTCCCTAATGAGTTGTTTATCAGGTGCCCTTGTAATCACTTACATTCTAAAAGCCTACAGTATGTTCTAAGCTCAAAACAATGTATAGAGCAGGCTACGAAATAAGCGTCTTCGAAATTCAATAGCTTTTTCTCGATCTGGAGAAAAACTCGGACGAATCCTGTCAGCAATATCTGATTATAAGAATTCTTGTAGCGAAGCCATCAATCACTTCCGACATAACACAAGTTGAACTCAAAGTCAATGACGAGCAGAAAGCAGTCTTAACCTTATGTGGTTTGCAGTTCAATGAAAGACAATTTTCAGTTTATAGGATTAAAAATTACCATTATAAGGTCTCAAAGTCGTTTAAGGTCATCAAAATCTTCCTAAGAAAAAAATGAATGTACAAAAGTGTCTGGGGAAAATCTAACATAGGCACATTAGTGTAAATAAACACATAATATGCTGTGTCCTAACCATTTTATAGCAAACTGAATCCAAGGGTCAATTCGTTAATGGTCGCTTAAGAAAGGGGTTGTCCGAAGAACACAAACAAGCTCTGGTATCTTGCCACATTTACTTCTAGCACAAGCCACACAAAAATATCAACTCTTAGACGATTATTTGGTAGATCATCAATAAACCCAAGCGCAAAAGGAAGCAGTGCTTTACTATACTCGTGTTGGAACAGGCCTCGGATATACTACACAACTATGAAGAAGACTGGTGTCAGGCAGGCTACTTTCCATGCCAGCGCTACACTAGTACAACAGACAAGCTTTATTGACGACAATCACAAGTCAAACCAAGCGTTTAGGTAACGTTCATTCGAGTTTACCACACTGGCTGCGCCGCTCATTTGTGTCTCTCAGATTAGCTTCATATTATGACACGTCATTGGAACGCTCAGAGAGAGGATTGGCTGAGGCCAGCGTGATCAAATATGTTTACTATTTTAGATGTCGCTGCTGTAGAATACCTGAGCCCTAATATGAAGAAGACTGGTACAACAGAACAGGCTTTATTGACCAGTCACAAGCCAGAGCCACAAGTCAGGAGCCTCCCATCTCTGACGCGCGCCATTCGATCCACGCACACCACTCTGGCCTGTTCTTTGTCCTCCTCTCCCTTCCCGCACAATCGCCTTCCTCAAGGCACGCCCGTGAGTCCGAGGAAAACGCCACTCTAACTCTCCCCGAGCTCTAGCACTCTGAGTTTTATGCGGTAGTATGGAATACATCCCGTTCATCCATCTATTCTTCAATCGTGTACCCGGTAGCTAACCATGATGGTGTGGCTATCTAAGAGGGATGGGCTAACAGTCATCTCCCTATCTAGGTCCCCGCTCGGTAGGCGCGTTACACATCCGAGTCCCCACACTGGCCTCGCAGCTCATTCGTATCCTTCTCTGGTTGGCAGCTTATCTTCCTCGCATGTCATTGGGACGCAGATAGACACAGAATTGGCTGAGGCCAGTGTCAAATATGTCTGCGTCGTCTAGTCGTCTGGGTGCAGAATACCCGAGCCCTAATAGGAATAAGACCGATACAACAAAAAGGCTTTATTGACCAATCCCAGGCCAGAGCCACAGGTCAGGCGCCTTCCATCCGATTTCGCCATTCTGGCCACGCCGTCCAATATATACTGCAACTCATACGTGTCCTTCTCTAGTTGGCTGCTTATCTTCCTCGCATGCCATTGGAACGCAGAGAGACACAGGATTGGCTGAAGCCAGCGTGGTCCAGTATGTCTGTGCCCTAATCCGACGCATACTGCCTCCCCCTTAGGAGTGAAGCTGTCCTCAGCTTCTGGCTTGGTTCCTTGCATTGTTCTTGATTTCCAGTGTTAATAAAATATCCAGTTCGACACTCCCCGCACCCCACATCTGGCAGGTTAGTGGCCCATGCGAATAGTCGACGAGGGACTTTGCTCTTGTAGACTTGCAGGAAAGACTAATCATCCATTGAAGGTCCTTCGCAGATGCAGTCCACCTGGCTTTCACTATCCAAGTCGTCATCGCTGAGTTGCCAATGCCTCTTCAGACGCAGTAGTCCTAATCCCGGGCAATGTCTATGGATCCAGTGTATGGGACATCGGATGAACGCCATGAAAATTTCAGCCGGC